AAATATTTCCAATACATGTATCCGACAAGTGGCTCAAGAAATACGTGAAGAACTTCTATAGATAAGAAAAATACAACAGCCCAATGGAAAAATGTGCAAAATAAAAAAGTTATCAAAAAGCTAATAGATTTTTCATTGTCTCCATTTTTCTTCACATTTCAGTAGTTTTTTCATTATCCAGTTTTTGATTTGATGTTATAATAAATCCTGTTCTTTTACTTAAGAAAAATATAATTTGGTTCCTTGGATTTTATTTACTTTCAGACAGTCTTTATCATGTTTCTTTCGTATAACATGTTGCTCTCTTCAATTTTTGGGGCTATATTATAATTAGAGGCTGGCATACATTTTACTTTTTCCATTTCATTTTATTACTTTTTATTTTTTTAAAGATTTTATTTATTTGACAGAGAGACAGAGAGCACAGCAGGGGGAGCGGCAGGTAGAGGGAGAAGCAGGCCCCCCACTGAGCAGGGATCCCGATGAGGGGCTGGATCCCAGGATCCCAGGATCCCGGGATTATGACCTAAGCTGAAGGCAGCCACTTAACCGACTGAGCCACCCAGGCGTCCCAAGATTTCATTTTCTTATGACTAACGTTCCACTGTGTATATATATATATATAGGTATATGTGTGTATATATATATATACACATATAATGTATATATATATATACAAAAATTAAGAATTACTTGGAGTATGGGTATGTATAGGAAGCCAAAGATGTTCATTGAAATACCATGCAAACAATAAGACCACCTTACACCATGGTTCATTTCCTTTAATTTAAATTTTAAATTTGTATTTTAAAATTATTTTGCTTTGAAATACAGAAAAGTAAATCCTAATTGAAATACAGAAAAGTAAATCTTAATTGAAAAAATCTTGCCTGCAAAATGTGTTTCTGCCTTCATACTAATTACTTTAGGAATTCGAAACACCTGTTGCTAATGTGAACTAAAGGTCCTTGGAACTACAATACATATCTTGTATAGCTAAGTAAATTGCAGGCAGTTAATAAGTTATTGAGAGAAGAATGTTTTGCTTGATTTTAAGGAGAAGTGACGCTCTAAAAAAGCTTAAATAAGGATGTCCAGGTGAGTAACAAATGCGGGCAAAACCTTAGGTAGAAGCAACAGAGCCCTCCTTCACTGTCTGCATAGGAATCCCTGTTTCTGAACCTAATTAAGGGGAACATTAAAAACTAATGATGTACTGTATGGTGACTAACATAACATAATAAAATAAAAAAAAAAAGTGGGGGGAACAGTTTGAGCTGGCCATAGGGCTGCACAGTTACTGGTTTAAACAGCGGTGCTTTACTGCCACCTTCTGGGCAAATAGGGTGTGTTACAAGCTCATTATGAGTGAGGTCAGGCTTTAGGCTGTGCCTGTGGCAGATGAAATAAATGTCTTACAAGTCATACTAGGATATTTGTTTGCATTGTAACTCACAAAAGATAATGTTTTTTTTTTTTTTTAACACATTGCGTTTAAATGCTTCTAGGAGGGAGGCAGGATTATGGTTAAGAGAATAGAATGGAGGTAATAGTTAAGAAGAATATAAAAACAACCCACTAAAACATGAAGACTTGCACTCAATAAATATTCATGGGTTTAATTTATATGTAGGATGAAATAAGAAGTATATAAAAGTTGCATGTTGAAATTGAGTTTGAGTGAGAAAAGAGAGAATATGACGTTGACTTTAATTAAACCAAAACACATGGAGGAGTACATTTAGAAAGAAAAAATAGGACTCAGATTAGCTCTATTTTTTTTTCTAAGACCCTTTATTTTTTTTATTCTTATGTTAATCCCCATACATTACATCATTAGTTTTAGATGAAGTGTTCCATGATTCATTGTTTGTGCATAACACCCAGTGCTCCATGCAGAATGTGCCCTCCTCAATACCCACCACCAGGCTAACCCATCCTCCCACCCCCCCTCCCCTCTAGAACCCTCAGTTTGTTTTTCAGAGTCCATCGTCTCTCATGGTTCGTCTACCCCTCCGATTTCCCCCGCTTCATTCTTCCCCTCCCGCTACCTTCTTCTTCTTTTTTTTTTCTTAACATATATTGCATTATTTGTTTCAGAGGTACAGAGGGTATGTGCTCTGGTAAGCGCTGTGAATTGTGCAAGACTTGAATCTCAGATTAGCTCTATTGATTTTAAAGATTCTATGAGCCCATGAAATTCAGATATGTAGTATTTGATACTGTTTATGGATACAGCCTAATCATGCGAACGTGTAAGTTGTAAGCATATAGATAATAGAGTGATTACAGAGGTGAGCGGGATCATCAAGTAGAGAAAGGTGTGGAAAGAGAAGATAGCAATGACAGAAACCTGGGATGGATAAACAACTAGAGAATACAAAATAAAGGGAATGTGACGGAGTTCAAAATTCAAAACAGCTGCCAGAGAGGGAGAGCGAGCTCAGGCAGTGGTGGCCAGAGCGAGGAACGCTAGGGGGGGAAGCTCCTTTCTTGTTGGCAGTGAGAGGATACGTGCAGCAATGGGCAGCGTGTAGAGGTTGTGCTGAAAGGAGGGAGGTCCTGTATTTAGATAAATATGCTGCCCTCCTTTCCTTCTTTGGAAACGTCTACTGTCAAATGACAGAAAAATGTCATTATTAAAGTCCCTTTTACTGTTGTGAATAGTACATCTAAGTAAATGCTTTATTATCCACTGAAAAATTTTGTATTATTACAGAACACAAGTCTTATCCTTTGGAATTGTTGTTGTTTTTTAAAAGATTTATTTATTTATTTTAGAGAGAGAGAGAGCACATGCTTGGGCGGAGGGAAGGGCAGAGAGAGAGGGAGAAAGAGAATCCTCAAGCAGACTCCCCACGGAGCACGGAGCCCCATGTGGGGCTTGATCTTAGGACTCTAAGAGCATGACCTGAACCCAAATCAAGAGTCAGTCACTTAACCGATTGAGCCACCCAGGTGCCACAGGAATTCTTTAAAACAGTAGAATAATGACTACTAAATACATTGACTAACGTAGTCTAGACTTCAGAAGGTATCAGAGGAAAATCTAAGTACAATGATAAAGATAAAGCTGACTTCTACCTTCAGATAATAGGCAGTAAACGGATATACCTCCTACTTGAAAAGACAACAAAAAATCAGGCAAAATATATGAAACAATGATACTAGACATCAGGCACTGAAGGATGCCGATTCCAGAGAGATGAGAAATAAATATGGTGAGCTCTATGACTGATCTTGGTTTCAGCATTGTAAGAGATTTCCAGAACAGGAAAGAGGAGCCCAGATGGAGCAAGTGGATTCCCTGAATTGAGGAGACAGAGAGCTGAGAGGAGAGAGACCAATGTGGCTATGGTTCGCAGGACCACAGCATGAAAGAGCTGGACAGAAAGCTCAGCATATTGCTGATTGGTACTCATGTGTGAGGAAACTACCCAAAGCCAAGAAAGAACCAGAGAGGATTAGCGATAACAGAGCTCAGATCTCATATAGGGCCTGTAATAGTGCCTGTTCCTGTTAGCCACACTAGAAAAACTTAAAATTCATGGAACACTGAGTGGAGTACCCAAGAGGAGCTTGCCTCAGTAACGAGGAACAGTTAGCCACTTAGTGAATAATGCACTGGTCCCACCTAACAACTCTTAAAAGTCATATCCCAGTAATATCCTAGAGGGTCAGACTGTTCCCAAGTAACTGTTCCATGTCTCAGAACAAAGCTCAAGACTATTTCTACAAATATCAAAATATTCAGAACAAAACAAGATAAAATTAATAAAATTATGAATTCATAAATTCATTCACAAAAATTCATATCTTTGGATGTCATCCATCATGAGAAGAAAATCAACCATCCCAGAACTGACACAAATATTTGAATTAGCAGTCATAAAAATAGTTATTTAAACTATATTCCAGATGGCAAAAAAGTTAGAAACACGAAAGATAGATCAAACTTGTAGAGATGAAAATATTTGAGATGAAATATCTACTGCATGACACCCATGGCAGTTTAATCATTACAAGAGAAGAGATTTGTAAACATGAAGTCAAAGCAATAGTGTTAGAAAACAATCCTCCCTGCAGTTCTTGCTGTTCCTGCACCCCCCGGCACTTAGAAGAGTAGAAATAGACATACCATCAAGATGGAGAATATTTCATTTCTCCCAGAGCAATTTGCTTTTCATAGTCTAAAGATGATAGGCCAAAGGTGATTTTTCCCTTTTTTGCTGGATCCCTGTGTCTGCCTTATAATTGGCATAGTAGTCAAGGTCAAAGAACTAACAGAACAGATAAGTGCTCTTGACCACAGTCTTACAAGAATATTCAGAGGCAGAAGAGATGCTTTTCCCAAGCCAGCAGGGAGCAAGCTGGCTGAGAGGAAGGGAGCATATTAGTGTGTATTAGTCTTCTCTCCATATTAGGAATGTACATATACACAGAAGAAATATAACCCAAAGAAAAATGTGTCCCGATAGGTTTCAGAGGTTAAAATGTGTCAAGAGAATTAAAAAAAAAAAACTAATGGGACATTCATGGACACCACTGATGTAGGCCCCCTTCTATGGAGAAAAGTGGGGTCCGTGGACTGGGTGTGTGTAAATGCCTCTTGTCTCAACGCTGAGTCTAAAAGTGAGTTTGTTTAACAAGGGGCTTGCAGCAAGGGGGCGGTGAGAATGGCCAGGAAGAGCACAATGCTCCATAGTTCCTAGGAACTGGTTTTTAAGAAATGCCATAGAAATATAGAAGAACTTTCTGTTGTGTTCCTTGGAAGACAACTTGGAGCATTTGTATTATAGATTATTTCACTGTTCACAGTATTAGGAGCTGATGAATCCCAATACTTGTCCTTGACCTTTGGCTCAAATGTTAATTTTGTTCTATTTCTGAGAACTGAGACACAGATCTGAGGACCAAGTTAAGTCAGGCTTTCTGAAAAGTTTATTTATTAGGAAGAGAAGAGCTCTAAGGAGCCCTCAGTTATCTGATACAAGCTCAGCAGGGGCAGGTCTCTGCCACCATCACATGGGAGGAGGGAAGAATGGCAAGAGAAGGATTGTCATGATGGAGAGAGAAAAGGTATCCTCTTGGGCGTCCAAATCCACTCAGCTAACATTTTCCATCATTTTGAAACCTAATTTTCCCCCGAGATTTCCTAAAGGAAAAAAGCAGAATCAACATTTTGTGAATAAAATGTCAGAGCTACAAAAACCCTTAAAAATTATTTTATCTATCATCCTTATTTTATATTTAAGGAAACTAAAAGCCAGAGCACAAAGGGAAATGACTACATACAAGAGTCAGGTTACTGGATTTCCTACCCAGTTATCCTTCCATGGTTCTAAGATGCCATGGACGATATTATGACCTATTCTAAAATCTCTTTGAAAATAAGTCATTCAATCAGGCCTGAGCTTGTGCTCTCTAAGGCACATCAATCCTTGCCTTATTCTCTTAACGCTCTCATGCTTTGGCCCAATTCTTCATGAGCTGGCATGACGTGGGGTTTATGCATTCCTGTCATTGCTCCTTGTACAAAACTACAAAATGATTGTTGGGTTGAGGGCTGCAGTCTGATGTCACGAGGAGAATTTTACTCCCTGTGAACTGTGCTGGCTTACACAGAGCTCAAGCTGAAGCTATGGTTTTGGGAGACCTCAGTGTCTAATCACTAATAATCATGTCCCATAAACCCCAAAACCTAAACACGGGCTCTTAGCAAAAGGACCCAAACTTTGCAGTCACCTCATCCTAGCTCAGAGTTTCAGACACATAAGAGATTGAAGGTATCTGAGAGAAGGCAAAACCACAGTTCGTCTTCCAGTCAAAGAATTTTGGGGCTGAATGGAATCGCTGAAGCTTTACTTGGCCTATGGGAACGGACATCGCCTGGCATATGGGAGTGTGAGGGCTCAGCCAGAAGGGCCCAAAACACCACAGAGTACACTGAGTCTGCTTTCCACCCCAGCGGGCTTTCTATTGCCACATGCTCTTCTGATTGGGGACTGATTAGTATCTGTGCAAACTGGAGCAAATTCCTAGCTTCAAGGCTGACGTACTTGGTAGAAGAGGTACATGGTCATTGCTGTAGGCTAAGCTCGTCTCTGTTCTCTTCCTCCCACCTCCCCAAAGAGTACTCACAGGCTCTCAATACACAAGATGCAGGGGTTTTCATAGGTTACAAAATCAGTGCCACAGATGGGTTGATATAAACCGGGGCAGGGGTTCACGGTTCCAGTGAACCAACTCAAGTCTACTTTCTTATATGGACATTTCACCTGAAATTTCAGTCAAAAAGAATGATATGATTACAATCACTCTCACAGACAGGTAGGTCACATCTGGACCTGATTAGGAAAATCTAAACACAGTCAGGATCCCATTACAGTCACACAAAGCGCTTATAGCTGCCCCTCCACAAAGCCACGGAGGCTGAATTTCTGTTTACCCCATCTGTCAACCACGATGCCCTCCTTGTGAGGAGCTCCTGACAGTCACAGGGCACAGATGCCTGCTACCCTCTGGTGGGAAAGGGACGAGTGGACAAACAGGATGTATTTGGGAAATTTAGCTTCTTTCTCAATCTCCTTTATTCCCAGAGTATCAGACATGGGAATAGTCTTAGAGATGTTCTGTGTCAACGGGGCAAAAAACCCCTGAAAGTCCATAACTGGAGAAGCTGTTTCACTGAAACCCATATGCTTTGATTTAAAATATGTACCATGACCAGAGGCCGAACTCGGGATCTGACAAGATGGCTGAGCTGCCCTGCAGGATTATCAAGGCAACCCAGCGTTTGCTGGCAGAACCAGTTCCTGGCATTAAAGCAGAACCAGATGAGAGCAATGCCCATTATTTTCATGTGGTCTTTGCTGGCCCCCAGGATTCCCCCTTTGAGGGAGGGACTTTTAAGCTTGAACTATTCCTACCAGAAGAATACCCGATGGCAGCCCCTAAAGTACGTTTCATGACAAAATTTATCATCCTAATGTAGACAAGTTGGGAAGAATATGTTTAGATATTTTGAAAGATAAGTGGTCCCCAGCACTGCAGATCCGCACAGTTCTGCTATTGATCCAGGCTTTGTTAAGTGCTCCCAATCCAGATGATCCATTAGCAAATGATGTAGCGGAGTAGTGGAAGACCAACGAAGCCCAAGCCATAGAAACAGCTAGAGCATGGACTAGGCTATATGCCATGAATAATATATAAAATCGATCTGATCATCAAGTGTGCATCACTTCTCCTGTTCTGCCAAGACTTCTTCCTTTTTTGTTTGCATTTAATGGACAAAGTCTTAGAAACATTACAGAATAAAAGCCCAGACATCTTCAGTCCTTTGGTGATGAAATGCACATTAGCAAATCTATGTCTTGTCCTGATTCATTGTTGTAAAGCATGAGCAGAGGCTAGAAGTACCATCTGGATTGTTGTGAAACGTTTAAAAGCAGTGGCCCTTCTCTGCTTTTATTCATTTCCCCCATCATGGTTGAGTATAAAGCACTGTGAATGAAGGTAGTTGTCAGGGTTAGCTGCAGGGGCGTGGGTGTTTTTCTTTATTACCTTTTTTGAGGGGGAGAGGTAGTTGTATTTTAATTTTATGGGCTCCTTTCCCCCTTTTTATGGTGATCTAATTGCATTGGTTAAAAGCAGCTAACCAGCTCTTTAGAATATGCTCTCTAGCCAAGTCTAACTTTATTTAGATGCTGTAGATGGACAAGCTTGATTGTTTGAACCAAAATGGGAACATTAAACAAACATCACAGCCCTCACTAATAACATTGTGACTTTGCTGTCAAGTGTAGAATCCTTCCTTCAAGAAAAAGCTTGTGACCATTTTGTATGGCTTGTCTGGAAACTTCTGTAAATCTTATGTTTTAGTAAAATATTTTTTGTTATTCTAAAAAAAAATATGTACCATAGTTTATCCATTCTCAAAATCACCAAGTCAACTCTTTTCTTGAAGTTGTGAAATGTGAGAGCATTTAGCACAATGCCCTGACTTTGTAGGGAACACGAGAAACAAAAGAAGGGACGCGTCTCATCAGGGAGGAGAATCCATGTCCACTCACAGTGATGCGGGGTTGCTGGAACTTGAGGAGGTGGCCTCAGGGGCTGTAGGAGAGCCATAGAGAGATTGATAACATGCCTCTGATACAAGGGACGGGGAGAGTTTTGGCTGAGTATCTAGAGAAAGAGGGATCATATCTGAGCTTAGAAACTCTTCTCCTTCTTTCCTTATCCAACACTACCACAATGGCCAGGCCCTATCATCCTGTACGTCTGTCACCCAGTGAATCCCTCCACTTTCTCTATTCCCCAGGCAATGGTCAGGGTTCGTAAACATTTCCTAGGCACTGGGGAGGGAGCGTTCTCCGGTTGTCAGATGACCAAGTCCTGGCCTGGTTCCCAGTTTGGATCACTCTACTCGGGCCCCTTGTACCAGCATTGTACCTGCCACGTTCCCGTGAGTGGACTCTGAAGAAGCCGCACAGAGGGCATTGCCAAAGTAAGATTCTAACACGGCGATTCCAGAGAAAACTCAGATTAGAATGTCTGTCCTGAGAAATAGAGTGGAAGATTACCTTAACAGTTCCATGTGGTGGCCACCATTGTCGACGGCCTGAAACTAAGACATACATGAGAATAGTTGCAGAGTATAATATCCCGTGAATCCTAGCTTAATCTGTTGGCAGAATTAAAGAATTCTAATTTATTACTGGGGAAGCTTGCAATATGAGCACATTCTTTTATTTATACATGCATTCATTTTTTCCCCTCAAAAAGTCTTCTACTCCTGATAGATAATGAGCAAGTGATCACTGCTCTCATAAATGTTGCCAGTCCGGTGTACCAAACAAGTTTTTGATTAATAGGAGTTAGCCTGGGCTTGAGATGATTCAGAACTGGCAGCCAATACATAAAAGACATGAAGAGATGCTAGAACTTTAAAGAGACCGTTAGCCCAATCCCTGTATTTTACAGAGAGGGGAAGGACACTTACTAATGCCCAGGAATTCATGGTAGGTAGGTGAAAATGCAAGCTCTTCAGTCCTTGAGTCCTAGGTCTTTTTAAAACTCCCTACAGGGCTCTTCTCTAAAAGAGGGCAAAAAAGGTAACACCCACTCAAATTCATGGCAAAGCATTTTCAAAAGCTTTGAGTCTTTGAGATGTGCTGTGCTGTGGGCATGTTGCCCACCACTGTAACATCATACCTCACTGAGTCCCCATGAGTTAGGTTTCATAACCTGCATTAATAGATGGGAAAGCAAAGGCCCTTGCACATTGGTTGGGAGCCTTTTCTTGGGACCACACTCCATTGCCTTTCTCTCTATAGATACAGATACATATATACTAAAGTGTAGACTTACATAAATAGATTGAAAATAATTCCAAAGCATTCTTTCAGATTACAATGTCAGAGCTCATAATCCTACATAACTGCCAGAACGAGTCAAATCAAAAATCACTCACCAGAGGGGTGCCTGGGTGGCTCAGTTGGTTAAGTGTCTGCCTTCGGGCTCAGGTCATGATCCTGGGGTCCTGGGATCGGTCCCCGCTCTGGCTCTCATAGGAGAGTCTGCTTCTCCCTCTGCCCCTCCCCCCTGTCTCTCAAATAAATAAAATCTTAAAAAAAAAATTACTCACCAGCAGGTAACACCCAATGTATCAAGATGAAGAACAACAGAGAGCAGAATACTAGAAGATATTTGACCATTTTTCCTCCTGGTGTGTGTGTCCTTAGAATGATGCTCTGAGATATTGCCTGGGATGTTCTCCTCTAGTACAATCACTAGAGCAAGGCAATCAAGATATTAAGACCGTCCTTGGAGTGAATATCCATCTCTAGCCTTCCCACTGCAACCATAGTACGCCATATCTGGAAAGCCTATTATTTCACCCTTCCCCAAGAACAAATGTTCAGAAAAAACTAAACTTGGTTAGTCATAAAGTATAGAGCTCAGTGAGAGATCTGTGACTACTTAGAAGACAGAAGTAAATCAGAAGTTACTCTTTGGACAGAATTGTATTATTTTAGTGTGGAGGTATTTTAGATGTCTTGAAAAGGCTATCCCTTACCTAAAGATTCACCCAGATTTTTTTCCTTGGGGGGATACAAAGAAAATGATGAGGCCACTAGAGGCTCCTGGGCAACAAGACCTTCTCAACAGAGGAAGCAGGTCTGTACTTGCTCACGAAGCAGAGACTGCGTCTTTGCGGTAAGACAAAGATTGTAATATTTTAGGCATATTTGGCTGTGCTGAGAATCTTCTGAGATGGACCGCTCAACTTTCTTGGGGCATTCTGAGAGAGTACATAGGGAGAAATACCATTCCGTGCTATTTCATGGGGGCCCCAAAGTTATTGCTCACTGAGCAAATCCTCCGGTGGGATTGCCTTCCCTTGTAGCAGCCTTTCTGACCCTGGAGAATGGTAGACGCACGTTCCAGGTCTGACCAAGGGACCACATTGAACTCCCCTATCTTCCTAAACCTACAAAAGTGACTGGGTCCTTCCTACGTGCTCTGGCCTTCCTCTCTGTTCGGTAGCATATGGGACTAGGCAACTGACATAAATTCTTGCCCAGACGCTACGGTGTGACATGTGATATCTGAGACACGGTAAACTCTCTAGGGGACTCCACTCCCCAGGATGGTTGGAGGTTCTTGGCACAGTGTCCAGAGCTGCCTAGCTGCCTACCCTGCCTGCTCTGGGGACAATCTAGGACATGTTTTTGCCCAGCACACCCCATCTCTTCCTGACATCGTCCCTGGCCTCCTTCTGGAATGGAGCAGCAACAGTGGAAGACACAGCTGCACGAACGCGGGACCCACCTCCGAAAAAAGAGAAAAGGAAGAGAGATGTAACACGCTCCTTCGTGGCTCGTGCCTCTTTTAAGGAGCAAGTACTAGGGCTGCAGGAGGGGGTAGGACAGCTATGTAGGAGAGATAAGGCACTGAGGCATCGTGTGCTGGGAGGAGCAGGCCCTGGAGGCCCCACATTCAGGGTAAATCAAAGTCAAACCTCAGCAGGAGGCATTGGGGAAGGAAGCACAGAGCGGCCTAGGAGACTTGGGCGTGGGAATGGGTCACCAGACACTGGACAGGGCAGCCCTTGGCAGGCAATCCGAAGAGGCAATGGCATGAGGAAATGTACCACAGTCAGAAAGGGCACAGCAGAAAAAGCAGAGGATGTTCCACAACAAGAGTCAGTACCTGGGGCCAGCGTGCAAGAAAGGAGGTGGGTGCTGAATGAGGTCTCCGGATACCATTTGCAGTGGGTCCAGTCTTGTTCTTGAGCTGAACCAGAGCCTTTGCTGCATTTTGACCTGGAAGATTTGTGCTCATGGCTGAGTTTCCTCCTGTTATCTGAACTTCTTGCCTCCATCTTCCTTCCTGTAAAGAACAGTTGTTCTTACACCAAGGAAGTATGTGAACTTGAGAAAATAGGTAAAATAGAAATTTAAAAAAGAAAAAGACATGAAATCTCAAAACCCAGAGATAACTGTTAAACATGTATTGAATTATATTGTTCCAATTTTTAAAAATCAAATTTTTGTAGTACTATATATTGTTTTCTGCCTTTTTCACTTAGAAATGTACTGTGACATTTTCTTGATTTTTGAATGTAATTATACAGTACTTGAATTTAGATGCCTGGTGCCATATTCTGTCACATATATGGGTTTTTATTGTATTAATATTCTTCCACTATTGCTCAGTTAGGTTGATTCCAATTTTCATTATTATTAACAATGCTAGAATAAACAAATTTTTATTTACCTCAGTTAATTTATTTCTTGTTAACTTTAATAAGTGCCTAAAAACAAACCTACTGGACGCTTCCAGAAAGGACCTGAGTCATCTAGAATATTAAAGAGGAGGTTTTCACCTAATTTGTGGGCTCTGTGCTTGTAATCTAACGTGGAACATTTTGAAAATACAATGCTACCTTACTAAGTGAATCATTTGTCCCCCAACTTAGAGAGATAGAGGGACTCCATTGCGTAGAAAGCATTACAGAAGAAAAAGTAAAACATCATAGGAAAGAAATAAGGCTAAAATACCTAGAGCTTTTCCAAACTCCCCCAAATTCCAGGTGAATTAATAATATTGGGTGAGGAGAATAAGTAAGATTAAGGAATCACATCTTCCTCAGAAAATCCTCAGTCTATGACTTTCTGATCATGGATCATATCCATGGCTTAATGCCAAAAGTTATAACTTGGGGCTTTTTCCCTGGACGGCAGGCTCCTCTTCCTAGCTATGGAATGATTTGATTTGTATGTTTCATGTCACTTCAAACCAACATTTTCAAAAACCAACTCCTTACTCTATAGTCCAAACTCGGTGCTTATCACCTTTTAGGGATACCAAAATCCTCTGCAAGATTTAACCTACAGCTCCGCTGTTTTCCTGCAGAAAGGAAAGTTTCAGCTCCACTGCCCAATTTACAGAGCTTTCTTGTCTAGCCCATTCTGTGAACAATTTATATTCGCAGCAGAGCACTGAGCTGCCTTCCTTTACGCCCCAACAGCTGTCCTTCCCTCACAGAAGAGCCACCACACAGATGTCAGTCCAACCCCAGGCTATCGGATAAAGTCTTTTTCTTCTCAAGGATTTTATAGACGCCATAGGGTGGCACTAGCCACACTAGGATAATCTCCTGCTCTGGTCTCGAGCACCGATTTGAGTAATAGAATTCCTGACCTGTTCTCCTGACTGACCAAGATGGCCTTAATGGCCTGCAAGTTCCCCTCAGCTTGACAAAAATTCAGACAGGCTTCTACCTGACTCCGGGCCCCTGACCTCCCTTATCTTAGAACATTTACTTTAGAAATGTTATAACTGTAAATTCTTTCTCTGTTGCCTTGAGACGTAATTCTCTTTGGAAACCCCTCACCAGTTTTACAACCCAGAAAAGTCTTTCTCCAGGACCCGGGAGGTATCCCTTTGAAATTTAGCCACCAGGAAAGACCTTGCAGGCTATCTCCTAGTCTCTGTGGAAGAGCAGGAGCCTAACTTTTCTTGGACACCTTGCTCTAAGTTGCAAAACTACCTCCTGTCATAAAGATACGAGTTTATATTCCCTTAGATAAAGCCAAGTTTGTATTTCCTTAGATAAAGCCATAGGCCAAATGGCCTATGATTTTCCTTTCACCTCCTCCAGTACTTTCTCACTAGCTCACCCAGACCTTAAAAACCTTCCTCCTTTTTTTCCAGCAGCATTAAGTTCATTCTGAGCCCTGGCTTCTCTTAACCAATAGCACTGGGTAAGTCTTCTTTGCCTATTTAATCTTACCTGATGTAATTTTCATTTTGACAGGAGCATCCCACATACCCAATAAGACAAGTTTTCTTGTCTCTTTGGACAGAATCACTGTTTTGTTGCTATTTCCTTTACTTCTTTTTAACACCAACACTCAACCTAGTATAATTCAAGTGCCAGCCTTCCTACCTTGTGGACGTGCAATTCTAGCATAAAATGGAAGCTCTTACTTCTTGCTAACCCTACTTCTTTCCTTAATTGCCCATTTGTTTACTCCTCTCTAGCATTCAGAGGTCCTCCCTGCACTATGCACTCACTGGTCCCTGTTGGTAACTTCTGGCTGCTACTCCCAGTCCCCTAGGATTCACCAAGACGTAGAATTGAGACAAGTCACCCTTCCCTTTTACTGTCCTCATCCTTTGTTCTCCCTAAAACTTCCACCCCTGGCTGTACAGATGTACATGAATTTGTTTACTAAAAGGGTGGAGAAAGGGAAATCTTTAAAGGGAATTACCGAGAAGGGGGAGAAGGTAAAAAGCTGGTAAGATAGAGACAAGTTTCTTCAAAGAGGAGAAGGAAAATAAGAAATCCTTAAGATGAGGCCCTGACGGTGAGCTCACCCAGTGTCTGATCTGATTCCTCTTCCCTCAAGCTTCCATCTCTTTTCAAAGACTGATTTGCTTTTCTCCGTTTCACTTCGGGGCGGCAAATCCTGCCCACAATCTCTTATGGGATGTGTGGAGGAGAAGCTCTGACCATCTAAATCGTGAGGACCCAGGTTAAGTGTGGGTGCTTTGAGTCAACTCTCCTTTGCAATGTTCTCTGATCAGTGTGAGTTGAAGACATCCCACTTTCTTTTCAGGGTTGCACCTGACACACAGCTATGAGCACATATACACAGACACACACTTCTGCTCGCCAAAATTAAGCATTAAGTCTCAGATGGTACAGTACAAGTTCTCAAATTCTATATTGTGACCCTTTAGTAGGTTGTGAAATTTATTTTGTTACCACCATTATTTTAAAATATAGTAAAATGGAGTGAATAGAGTAGAATAACATAAAAATCACAGCGCAACTTCAATAGTGTGTGTGTTTCTAGGTGGTGAGGTAGAATACAATTTTTTTTTTTTTCACTGCGAGTCACAGTCAATGAAGTTTCAAAACCCCTAGAATAAACCTACAGGTAAGGAAACAAATATTTGCGCTCTGTAAGCTGTGTACCTCTTGCAAGGAGAAAATAAGTTTTTATGCATGTTTTCAGCCAAAAGCCTGATATAGTGCTTTGCTCTTAGCAATTCAACAAGCATTTCTTATGTCCCAACTTGGAACCCTTCTGGCCTCCCTTTCATAGTTACTGGAACATTAGAGGCACGTTGTAAGCTTATGTTTCTTGAAGGACTGAATGAAAACTTCCTCTAGTTGCAACATACCATACTACCCCCAGAATCAATCTAACTTGTACCAACATTTGAAAATAGTAAAGTGTTGTGGTAAGTGTTTCAAATGACACATTGATGTTATGAATAGCCTAAGCCCTCAGGTGTTGAATAGTCTAGTGGGGTTGGCAGAGAGGAAAAAAGCAGATGAGAAATCGTAATTCAAAATGTGCCAGGAAAATGGGTTTTCAAATCAAGTACTAGCATTATTAATGCTGGATAAATGTATTTATACTTGTTTTAAGGCATAGGATATGCTCCATCTTGATAATTTCTTCCCCTAATATTGATATATAGCAATATAAATTTTACCCTAAGCACTGCATTAGGAGGATTCCACAAATTATATTACTCTCTTCTTTTCATTCAACTCAAAATACTTTTAGTTTCTCATTTGATTTCTTCTTTGACTCAGGGTTTATTTATTGCTGTGATATATGCTTTCCAAATATTGAAGATTTTCCAGAGATTTTTTTTTTTTGCTTTGTTTTCTTATTCAATTCAGTTATGGTCAGAGGACACATGCCATGTGACTTGAATTCTTTTAAATTTATTGATACTTGTTTTATGGCCAAGAAATTGGGCTATCTTGGTAAATATTTCATGTGTACTTGAGAAGAATGTTTACACTGCTGTTGTGTGTGTGTGGGGGGCTGTTCTCAGGTCATGTGGTTGATAGTATCACTCAACTCTGCCGCACGATTGCTAATATTCTTGTTTTATTAATTTTTGAGAGATGGATATTGAAATCTCTTGATTATGGTCATGAATTTGTTTATTTTTCCTTACACTTGGATTCATTTTTGATTTGTGAATCTTGAAGTTCTGTTATGAGGTTCATAAACATTTAAGACTTTTATATCTCCTTAATTAATTGAAAACTTTATCATTATAAAATGAATTCTCATCCTTTCAATTAGTCTTTGCTCTAAAATCTATTTTGCTCTTATTAACATTGCCATTCCAGCTTTCTTTTGACTAATGTTAACATGGTAAATCTTATTTTATCCTTTTAATTTTATTTTATTTGTGCTTTTACTTACTTATTTACTTACTTACTTGATATTTTATTATTATTATTATTATTTTGTTTTATTTTATTTTGTTATGTTAGTCACCATAGAATACATCATTAGTTTTTGATGTAGTGATCCATGATTTATTGTTAATATTTTATTTTTAAGTAATCTCTACACCCAACATGGGGTTTGAACTCACAACCCTGAGATGAACAGTTGTATGCTCTACTGACTGAGCCAGCTGGGTGCCCCTGTGCTTTTATTTTTAAAGTGTTTTTCTTGTAAACACACTTGTTTGTTTGCTTTTTTAAAATCTAGTCTTTTTAAAAAAATCCAGTCTGGCAATCTCTTCCTTTAATTGGTGTGTTTAGACCATTCATATTTAATATGATAACTGATATACTTACCATAATGGTTAATTTTATATGTCAACTTGGCTAGGCCACAGTGCCCAGATATTTGGTCAACACCATTGTGAAGATATTTTTCAGATACAATCAACATTTAGGTTAGTATATCTTGTTGTTATTATTGTTGTTTGTAGTTAAATTATTTATTATTATAAGGTCAACACCCATGTACCCAGCACTCTAGTGATGAGCTAGAATGGCTTTTATCCTAAAAACCTTCCCCACGTTATTGCCTGCTGTACACTGAATATTTGTGTCCCCATCAAATTCATATGTTGAAGCTTAATTCTCAATGTGTTGGTATTAGGAGGTAGGACTTGTGGGTGGTGATTAGGTCATGAAGGCAGAGTCTAGAGAGCTCCCTTGCCCCTTCTGCCATGTGGGGACATAGCAAGAAGACAGTTCTCACCAGATACTGAATTTTCTGGCACCTTGATCTTGGATTTACCAGACTCCAGAACTGTAAGAAATAAACGTTTGCTGCTTAAGCCTCCCAGTTTATGTTGTTTTTTCTGTTTTGTTTTGGTTTTTTTTGGTTATAGCAGCCCAGACTAAGGCCTGCCTAATCACAGCCCCCTGTCACAGACTCTATTCTGACTTCTATGTTAATCACTCACAGGCATTTTTAATAGTTTTACTACCTATATGTGCCTTTGGGATTTCCTCTTTGGTGAAGTGTCTAAATCAGTAGACACTGAGTAGAGCATACTATTTTCTGTAATGTGGGTGAGCCTCCTGCAAACAGTTGAAGACCCTAAGAGAAGAAGCCTAAGATCTCTTGGGGAAGGAGAATTCTGCCTCTCAACTGCCTTGAGACTTGAGCTGCAACATCAACACTTCCCTGGGTCTCCAGGCTGCTGACCCACTTCCCAGCCCCATAATCACATGAGTCAATTACTTAAAATAAATATTTTTCTTTCTCTCTTGGCTCTGTCTCTTTCTCTGTCTCTCTCTCCACACACACACACACACACACACACACACACACACACACACACAATTGGTTTTGTTTTTCTGAAAAACCCTAATTAACACAATTACATCGAATCTACCATCTTGCTACTTGCTTTCTATTAGGTCAATCTGTTTTTCCCCTTTACCTCCTTTGTCTTCTTTTGCACACACAAATATAGTATTTTTTTCATCATTCCATTTTATCTCCTTTGCAGCATATTTAGTGTTGCTTTAGGATATATAGTATACATTCTAACTTCTCACAGTGCACCTTGAAGTGGTATTATACCATTTAACTTAGCACAGAATGTTATATGAAATAGTTTCATTTCTTTCTTCTATTGCTATGTTGTCATGCATTTTATTTTCACATATGAAAAATAAAAACAAAGTTCTGGCAACCTAGCTGCTATGGACAAAATTGTGTCCCCTACAAATACAAATGTGAAAACACTAATTCCCATTGTGACTGTATTTGGAGATAGGGCTTTAGGAGGTAATTAAGGTTAAATGAGGTCATAAGGGTCAGGTCTTTCAGTTCTTACTGAACCTTCAATAATTCTTGATTATAGTCTTTTTTACATTGTATAGTAAACAACTGTTCAAAAGTATGTCTCTGACTAGTGTACCAACTCCTTAGTGGCATGGATTCTTTGCCCATTTGTATTGCCTTTCCTTACACAACGGATTGCTTGACCTATAGTGATCTTTCTATGTGTGTTGTTAGAAAAAACACAAAAATCTCTACAAAATAGCTGGCAAGCATTTGCCCAGTCTTCACTAAAAGAGCATTGTGCTGGGGCACCTGGGTGGCTCAGTCGGTTAAGCATCCAATTCTTGATTTCAAGCTCAGGTCATGATCTCAAGGTCGTGAGATGGAGCCCTGCGGTGGGCTCCATGCTCAGTGGGGAGTCTGCTTGAAGTTCTCTCTCTTCTTCTCCCTCTGTCCCTCCCCTCCTGCATGTGCATGCTCTCTTTCTCTTTCTCAAATGAATAAATAAATCTTTAAAAAAAATCTTTAAAAAATCTTTGGACAGATGAACTTATAGGGCATAACTTTGTTCCTATTTAAAAACTTACTGTTAGAAAATTCTTCTCTTTACCAATGCAAAATATCTATCTTTGCATGTTACATTAATGACATAACTCCTCCTGTGGAGCCCCAGAAACGAGAAAGTTCTGGTCTCTCTATCTTATGATACTTCTGCATATGCCCTCATCTTTCCCAGTTACCTTGAACTTTCCTTGGGCCTTTTAGTGACTTCAACAATTTAATCAGATTATATTATTTTTATTCTCTTCCCAACATGATCAACAAAATGTCTTCCTTTGTGGGTGCCACTTGTGACTGAGTCCTCTTTAAATAGATATCTAACATCTAATATTATTCCTGGTCTGATTAGTTGACAGTATTATGGATTCTTACTTTATCTTTCTCCAAAGCTGAAATTTCCACTTTTCATTATTGTGGCTAAAGGTGCTAATGTTAGACTTGTGGTCAGATCCGCCACTTGATGCATGTTTACTTAAAAATTGTGAGGTTTTTGTTTTTTTTTAATGGGATGCTAAGAGCAGATTCTTCTCTCACCAGTGTGTATACAATCTCTCCTACTCAACTTGAGTAGAAATAGAGGAAATCTTTCTGTGTGACCTATTGAGGAAATGGCCATAGACATTCTCCTTAAGAGACAGTCACATCCAGAGACAAACCTGAAAGCTTTCTGCTGAGAATTTTTTTATTGAAGAATGAAATCCATATATTTGCTCCCATAGCCATCCAAGAGGGATTGATTCTCTACGTGGAAGCTGCCAAAGGGAACTCGGTGCCCTTGAGCATCAGGGAGACTCAGCATTGTCCGTGCTTTGCCAGAAAAAGTGCACCACGACTATTCCTACAAGAGAAATAATTTTTTTTAAGGGAATGCTGTGGAGATCTTAAATTGAAACTTTAGTATTCTTAGATCAAGCCAGCCAAATGAGCACAGAGCGTGAAAGGTAAGTAATTAGTAACTGAGCTCCAGCATGGCAGAAAAAGTAATTCAATGAACTTGTCAAAACCAGTGTTACGAGCCAAAAAAATCTGTAAATATCTCTGTTATCTGCCACTTAGTAATATTATGATGTTGATCAAGTCTTCTTTTCCAGCTTCAGTTTCTTCCTACAATCCACTTTCTTTTTTTCTCTTGCCCTCTATCTCTTTCTTTTTACTTCTTTTTGTAAAATATTATAATTATCAGTGAACCATCTCACTTTTATGCTTTGTAGGAGCATCTTGCTTATTAGGTAGCTATGATGGTTTCTGGCTCGGCGGGAAAGGCTATTTCTGCAAATAGCACATTAAATTCAGCACTTACACGGCAGCATTGCAAAATAAAAATTTGTTTGCATAGCTCTGCCCATCGGATCCACAGAGAGGTAAGTATTCCATGGTACATATATCAAATATTGGGTACACTCAATATCCTGCAGTCCAAAAAAAGGAAACAAAGAAAGAACAACTTCAAATTGTTAAATTATAGAAAATGAGCTTTTTTTAAAGGCCTCGAGATGTCATTTAGCCCTCAATCCCACATGCAAAAAGACATATCCTCTTCAATTTACAAAATCTGACCCAACCATGGTGGCAATCTTGTCACAGTAAGAGATAGCTTAGCTTGAGTTTAGGGCTTCCCTCTCACTCATTGTCCACTCGGTACTGGTGAAGAGAGTACATCCAGGGGGTCTTTTTTTTTTTTTTAAAGATTTTATTTCTTTATTTGACAGAGAAAGACACAGCGAGGGAGGGAACACAAGCAGGGGGAGTGGGAGAGGGAGAAGCAGGCTTCTGCTGAGCAGGGAGCCCAATGGGGGCTCGATCCCAGGACCCTGGGATCATGACCTGAGCTGAAGGCAGATGCTTAACGACTGAGCCACCCAGGCACCCCCCAGTGGGTCTATCTTGTGCTTAATTTCCGAACCAGTCCTCTCCTCGCCACACAGTTATCCACTTTATTCAGGCCCACCAGATGTCTTGCCTGCATAATTGCAGGTGTCTGCCAGTTTGCTGCCCAGCGTCCATGCTTAGCTGAGATTTCAGTCACCCTTCACACTCATGTCAGAGTGATCTTTTAAAAACCAAATCAGAACTTTTTTTATTAGTTAACTGATTCCGCATCTACAGGAAGTCCCCTCATGAGCCGTGCTTACTTCTCTCATCTGCTCTGCCTCTAACTCCAGCTGAACTTGAGTGATATTCCCTGAGTGTTTCCTGCTCCTATACATCCCTGTGCCTTAGCTTAGGCTGTTTTCCTATCTTACCCGACCTTACCCACTGGAGCCATCAAAACAACTCCTAAGACTCCTAGTCTTCCTTAGAAATCAGTTTAACTCTTTTTATAACAGTTTCATGACAACATTTCTCTCCCTCACATTGGGTCAGATGCCACCCCTTAAAATGAACTGTCTTTACTACCACAACCCCATGTTTTTATTTCTCTCGTCACATTCCAACCTCTATTAAAATTATTGACATCCATTCACATAGCTCTTTACTCCAGAAGTGTCTTTACATTTGTTCTCGAGTTTTTTTTGTTGTTGTTTTTAAAAAGATAACTTCCTTTATTGTTATGAGAGTGTCCTCGAGTCCCTAATGTCCTCTTCTTAACCTGCTAATTCGTTGCAGTGTTAGAAAACAACCACATGTATACCAATCTGACCCAATTAAGGGCTATGAGTAAAATTTGTGGAGTTTTCCTCTGGAGAAGTAAATTAACTGTGTTCAGGTCTTTTGTTTAGGCTGGCCACATGACTTACCTATGACTATACATACTCACAGACAATTTCTAAAATGTCTATTTTAAAACTTTCATAAAGTGAGGAATTATTGTAACATTTTATATTAAGAATAAATAAAATTTCTGTGTATACTTACACATTTATTATCATGAAGTTTTCTGACTTGAAATCCTTTGTTTCTGAAAGAGAAGATTTTCATTGAATGGGTAATGCATTACTTGGCATTTCACAATCCACAGAGTAAAATACTGTCATATGTCATTCTGTATTCTCTGTCCTGTACTGAGAATGAGGAGCTCTGGTTAATATTCTACCCAGGTTGGCTAATATTGACCATTAACACCTTTGGTGAATGATCATTTTGTAAACAAATAAAAATATAAGAAAATAAGATCAACACTAAGAGGAGATTGGGCATTTTAAAAAAATTAGTCCATGAATATTCAGATGAAAATCAAAGGCATAATATAGTGTGAAAATATTTTTTGCAGTTAAGAAAAAGAAAATATGTTCCAAATCCATCTGTGGCACTTGTAGTCTGTGTAATTTTGTTACAGTCACTTCTTTCTGTAAGATTTCTGTCTTCTAAAAGGAGGCTATGAAATGATAAAACCAGTAAAATCTCGTGTTTAGTCTCATGTGTTTTTATTAGTACATGAGTTTGCGTATCCTGAGAGACTTTCTTCTTCTTCTTTTTTTTAAAGATTTTTATTTATTTATCTGACAGATAGAGAGACAGTGAGAGAGGAAACACAAGCAGGAGGAGTGGGAGAGGGAGAAGCAGGCTTCCCGCTGAGCAGGGAGCCCGACATGGGGCTCGATCCCAGGACCCTGGGACCATGACCTGAGCCGAAGGCAGACACTTAACGACTGAGCCACCCAGGCGCCCCGAGAGACTTTATTCTGAATAACACTTGTTATTACACTTGACTATAAATTTTCAGAAGGGTTAGAAAAGAAGGGAGAAAAAGATGAGAAGGAAGAAGAGCTCATTTCTGTAAGTATGCAGTCTGTATTAGCTGCATAGCTAAGATTTGATGTGTTTTATCACCGTGGATCCTAAACACTATTAGAATTTCCAGCTTACAGATGAGACGACTGAAGCATGAGGTGGATTGGGTATTTGCCTAATGTCACACATCTCCTAAGTGCAGTCTGGATTCTAATGCAGATGTGTGACTCCAAAGCCTGTGATTTTAATCACTAATCATAAAGTAGTGAATTCCAATTCCTGGAATGGCTGGTAATAACCATTCTTTCATTCTCCTAGAAGCTGAGATGTTTACAGTGAGGAACTCATATGTAATTTGCGGGCTACTGGTGGTGGGGGTCCCAGCTATCCATTTGTACTTTCAATCTCCTCCCTAGACTTTTCCAGATAATCATAAGAAGCAACATGGATTTTCTCTGGGGCAGGAAGGATAGATCAAAGTTTTGTAAATAGCACCCATGGCAAAGAGCCTACATAGAGAGAGCTGTCTTCTGAGCTCTCATTATGCAATAAGAAAGACACAACAGAAGATTATGGAACTTTGACCAAGATACATTTTCTGCCTGAGACTCAGCTTCCTCAAATGTAATGTGGGAATAAAAATGTCTATAGGTAACAGCTAATGCCTGAGGAATAGTGTATAATGTGAATGAGAATTTGGCTGGATAGCAAAGAAATACATATCTCCTTTGAGATATAGCTAAATTTATTTGTTTATTTTTTATTTGAACAAAGCAATGCCCAAAGGGTATTGGAGGAGCACAACCAAAGGTAGGATTTATCAAACCACATTGTTATAAACCAAGCAGATTTTGGCCAATGTGGACTTCATGATCTTTAAAAAAAAAGAGGGGATCTAAACTGAGTATGATACTTACCGAGTTAGCATGCAAAACATGCATTCATCACTGTAAGTCTTATGATCTGTGCCGCATATTGGATCCAGGTGCCTTGGGCATGCAATCTCAGAGCCTTTTGTGTTGTATTTGGAGCAGTCCACCTATAACTGGAACAAAAAATAATGGCCTACATCGTCTTCCTTCAATTCTGTAGTCTTTCTCATATCAAGTTGGTAAGACAGAGAAGAGAGTGGAAAGAGTACTAGCCTCTTCAACTTTTTAGCAAACATGTCTAGAAGACCTTATGTGGATCAGATGCTGTGCTACGGGCAGCTAGGTCAGACAGGTCAGACATGAAACATTCTGAAATTAGAGTTAGCTGTTTAAGAAGGAAATGTTATTTGTTTCAGAGGTACAGATCTGAGATTCAACAGTCTTGCACAATTCACAGCACTTACCAGAGCACATACCCTCCCCAGTGTCTATCACCCAGTCACCCCATCCCTCCCACCCCACCCCCCACTCCAACAACACTCAGTTTGTTTCCTGCGATTAAGAATTCCTCGCATCAGTGAGATCATATGATACATGTCTTTCTCTGCTTGACTTATTTCACTCAACATAATACCCTCCATTTCCATCCATGTCGATGCAAATGGCAAGATCTCATTCCTTTTGATGGCTGCATAATATTCCATTGTATATATATACCACCTCTTCTTGATCCATTCATTTGTCGATGGACATCTTGGCTCTTTCCACAGTTTGGCTATTGTGGACATTGCTGCTATAAACATCGGGGTGCACGTACCCCTTCAGATCCCTACTTTTGTATCTTTGGGGTAAATACCCAGTAGTGCAATTGCTGGATCATATGGTAGCTCTATTTTCAACTTTTTGAGGAACCTCCATACAGTTTTCCAGAGTGGCTGCACCAGCTTGCATTCCCACCAACAGTGTAGGAGGGTTCCCCTTTCTCCGCATCCCCGCCAACATCTATCGTTTCCTGACTTGTTAATTTTAGCCATTCTGACTAGTGTGAGGTGGTATCTCATTGAGGTTTTGATTTGGATTTCCCTGATGCCGAGCGATATTGATCACTTTTTCATGTGTATCTGAAACAAATAATGCAATATATGTTAAGAAAAAAAAAAAGAAGAAGAAGAAGGTAGCGGGAGGGGAAGAATGAAGCGGGGGAAATCAGAGGGATAGACGAACCATGAGAGACGATGGACTCTGAAAAACAAGCAGGGTTCTAGAGGGGAGGGGGGTGGGAGGATGGGTTAGCCTGGTGGTGGGTATTGAGGAGGGCACATTCTGCATGGAGCACTGGGTGTTATGCACAAACAATGAATCATGGAACACTTCATCTAAAACTAATGATGTAATGTATGGGGATTAACATAAGAATAAAAAATAAATTAATTAATTAAAAATAAATAAATAAAAAATAAAAAAATAAAATAAATAAAAAAGAGAAGGAAATGTTAGTCTCTCCTTTTTGAGTTACAGTGAGAGTACAATGGAATAATGAAAGTGAAAAATACTCAGAAAAGTTTGAAACGACGCCTAAAAGTAACAGTTTACTTTATCTGTTCTTCTCCTTTTGCAAAGAGATTCCTTTTGTGACCTTTAAAGAAAGAACCACCACCAGGAGAAGCAGAGTAGGAATGGTTTTACCTCCCTAGGAATTATTTCCACCCACAGTGAGCCAGCTTCATTACTTTCACAGCTCCGTTTACACATCAGCTCTGATTTCATTTTTACCAAGACCCCACAGAGAAGGTTACACTCACCTTTCTTCCCACTACTTGATCACCGGAAGACAGTGGCATGAGAGCATTTGAAGAGAAGGAATCAGAGAAAGAGCAAATTCCACAGTTAGAGATGCAAGGCTGAATTCATTGTTCACAGTAACCAAAACCCATATCTGCCATCCCTGGCCCAGGCCAGACCTAAGAGATGTCTCTTCTTTACTCAGAGCCAACTCAGGATGAAGCCAGAAATATGTGTGATTCTGATTAAAAAAACAAAAACAAAAACAAAAACAACATGGGGGAAATCCCTGGTCATTGGAGAAAGGGCTGTCACAGGAATTCCTGTGAGCAAGCCCAGGGTAGGGTTGGGTGAAGGTCTCAAAGCTGCGTAAGTTGTTTCTGAAAGGCAAGTCAGAAGCCTGGTGTGGATCAGGAACTAAGCAGGTTGCCCACAGTCCTTTTCTTCTTCTTTTTTTAGATTGAAGTATAGCCGAGTCAGTATGTTTCATTAGTTTCAGGTGTACAACACAGTGATTCATTAAGTCTATACATTATGTTGTGCTCACCACATTATGTTGTAGCTCCCATCTGTCACCAAACAGTATTACAGTACTGCTGACTATATTCCTTATGCTGTACCTTTTATTCCCATGACTATCTTTTTATTCCTCTTCGCAGTCTCTCTTCCTCTTCTAGAAGGTCTGACCCCCCATCCCTTCTTTGCTAATCAGGCCAATCCAAATAGTTAAGGTCTCAAGTTTTCTTCTGACTTTAACATTCTATCGTTACTGAAGGTTGAACAAACTGCAGTTAACATAAAGCCATCGCTATTCAAAGGAGTCTTAACTCGCCAGGTGGAGACGTAGCCCATGTGGTGGCTACAAGAGCAAAGATGGCAAAAGCAGTGATACTCTCCATAGTGATGAGGAGTGAGGGTGACTGCTCCGAGGCACACATACACGTATATATATACACATGCATAAGGCAGGGTCCCACCCTCCTCAAGATTGATCTTTTCACTGATGATTTGTTGTTAACCCAAGCTAGGATGTTAAGTTTATTTGTCAAGAAAAGCTTCCTTATTACCTTGATTTATGGGCAGCTGGAAGAGTTATACCCTGAAACTCACCTACCAGAACTGTCTTGCATAGTAATCCTCTGGTTTCTTAGCAAATACAACGGCATGGCTATATTTGAGACCAAATAAAATCATAGGTGTAGTGAAGAGAAATAAACAATAAAATGACATGTATAAAGGGTTTCAAGATTATATGAAATGAGGGAAAGTTGAAATAGAAAACAGGAGCAATGAGAACATTTCTTGAAAATGTATAGTAGTACACAACATGAATACTTAGCACTATAATACATTTTCTAGAGTTTGAAGATAATTTACCATGTTCTATGAAGGCTTGTTAAGTGACTAAAAAAACTTGTGAAATATGCAGACCAGTATTACTGCTACTTAGCAGATGGAACTACAAACACAGAAAGATTAAGTGCTTTCTCTTTAGTCACAGAGTGAACAGTTGGAAGAGCCAGTTCTCCAGGATTCTAGATCTATACTTCTCTCCTATTATTTTTTTACTAAGATATGCTACTTCAATAACAAAACCCAATATTTATATTGAAAATCCAGATTTTAGCATAGTGTCTCATGCTTCTTAAGATTATAACCATGATATTCTGCTTGACACATTCTTCTGTGTCCATATCTATATATATTATGTCCATCCACATAACCAACGTTCTTTCAATAATCCAGGCCTAATGATTTCCAGTTACTTAGCACTTTCATCTCTATCATCTCATGTGGATGACACCATCTCATGTGAAGACATCAGCTCTCTAGAAGATAGAGTTAATACAGAGTTAAGCTAGGGTTAATTCCAAAAGGACAAACTCAAAGATTGGAGGAGTTAAGCAAATTGCCCAAAGCAGACAGCTAATGAGTGATAGAATCTTGACCAAAACCAGATCTTTCCGTTTCAGAACTTATGGTCTCCCAGTAACTGGTTGCAATTATTTCTAATTTTTAAGATGTTTCTCTCTCATTCATACTTTCCATTCTTCAATACCACCTCTTTTTCTCAGAGATAATTCCATAATTTTGGTTTACGCTATTGTGAAATCTGCATACTTGCACCTCACCCATATTTCAGTGCTTGTTCAGCATTTGAAGTATGTATACTATACTGAAATGTGCTCCGGAAACTTTTCTCAGTGGCATAAATGATCTTCTTCCCAAGTCATAGTGGAGCATCTGATTAGAGTGACCAAGTTCTGAGTAGATGACAGAAATGAGAAAAATGGCTTAGTGATGGTAGAGTTGGCCAGGTCAGGAGCAAGCACCTGGGTCTGTGGCTTTCAAACTTTTCATTATTGTTATTTAATTAAGAAATGGTATTTTCCCCCTCCCTGAATGTAATTCTATGAAGCAAGCAAGCAATGAGACAGATTTTTAAGCAGTCACTTAAATAGAAGCAAGACAGGATTCAAGAGTGCCTGCATTTCCAGCACATCCCATAAGTTTCCATGCAAATCCATTTGGAAACTGATCTAGAACACACACATACAAGGAAGTTAGGCCCTGGAAGGGAGAGTATTTTGTCCAAGACCTCTCAGTGAGACAGATCCCCAGATTCTAGTACAAGATTTGTTCTGCTATGCCAAATCTTTTCAGACCATTACACAGCCCTGTGTCAGCATGGGATTTCTGCCCCTACTTGCTTTCCCAGAGAACATGAGCAAGTATCTGCCACCTGGGTCCTGGACTCAATTCTCTACTGCTTATTGGATCTCACCTTTCTGACATTCCAAAGGATCTTGCAGTTCAACATGTTCCTAGGAGAGCTTGTTGCTAAATCTCATTTTTAATGGCTTCCCTCCAGTTTCACTTTGTTAATATCTGTCAGTGGCAACCCAATCCAGGAACATTGTAGGAATCTTCATTTCTTGTCTGATTTTCACACTCACACCCAATCTCTCACCAACTAGGTTTTGAGTGTGTGTCTTCCTCACCAGGAAGAATATAAGTGTTGTTTGATTGTTTATTATTTTTTTAAATTCAGAGTTCAAGAATAATAGCTTATAAATCTACCTCTAAAAAAAAATCTACCTCCCATATTTCTTCCTTTTGGAAATTTCCACAGGGATGACAGAGAATTTAACCCTGTCTCCAAATTCTAATAAGACCGCATTTTTCTTTCTTCCTTTTGCCACTACTCAGTAACTTTCTAAAGATTTAATGCTCAGGAAATAAGTCAATCAGAGAAAGACATGTATCATATGACCTCACTGATATGAGGAATTCTTAATCTCAGGAAACAAACTGAGGGTTGCTGGAGTGGTTGGGGGGTGGGAGGGATGAGGTGGCTGGGTGATAGACATTGGGGACGGTATGTGCTATGGTGAGCGCTGTGAATTGTGCAAGACTGTTGAATCACAGATCTGTACCTCTGAAACAAATAATGCAATATATGTTAAGAAAAAAAAAAGAAGATAGCAGGAGGGGAAGAATGAAGGGGGGGAATTGGAGGGGGAGACGAACCATGAGAGACAATGAACTCTGAAAAACAAACTGAAGGTTCTAGAGGGGAGGGGCGTGGGAGGATGGGTTAGCCTGGTGATGGGTATCAAAGAGGGCACGTTCTGCATGGAGCACTGGGTGTTATGCACAAACAATGAATCATGGAACACTACATCAAAAACCAATGATGTAATGTATGGTGATTAACATAACAATAAAAATTTTAAAAAAAGATTTAATGCTCAGCATTCCTTGGGCTCAGGGAAATACAAATCAAAACTACAATGAGATACTTCCTCACACCAATCAAAATAGCTAAATTTAACAAGTCAGGAAACAACAGATGTTGACGAGGATGTGGAGAAAGGGGAACCCTCCTACACTATTGGTGGGAATGCAAGCTGGTGCAGCCACTCTGGAAAACAGTATGGAGGTTCCTCAAAAAGTTGAAAATAGAACTACCCTATGACCCAGCAATTGCACTATTAGGTACTTATCCAAAGGATACAAACATAGTGATTTGAAGGGGCACCTGCACCCCAATGTTTATAGCAGCATTGTCCACAATAACCAAAGTATGGAAAGAGCCCAGATGTCCATCAACAGATGAATGGAGAAAGAAGAGTGGTACATATACACAATGGAATATTACTCAGCCATCAGAAAGAATGAAATCTTGCCATTTGCAACAACGTGGCTAGAACTAGCAAAATAAGTCAGTCAGAGAAAGACAAATACCATATGATTTCACTCATGTGTTGAATATAAGAAAGAAAACAGATAAACACAGGGGAAGGGAAGGAAAAATAAGACAAAAACAGAGAGGGAGACGAACCATAAGAGACTCTTAACTATAGGAAACAAACTGAGGGTTGCTGGAGGGGAGGTGGATGTTGGGGGTTGGGGTAACTGGGTGACGGGTGTTAAGGAAGGCACTTGATGAAATAAGCACTGGGTGTTATTTACAACTGTTGAATCACTAAATTCTACCTCCAAAACTAATAATACACTATATGTTAATTAAATTGAATTTAAATAAAAATAAATAAAAATAAAAAATAAACACAGTATGTAGGATTATGTAAACTCAATATCATCACAACACATTGCCCAGATCAAAAGTTACTTCAGAGCGACTTCAAGTCCATTCCCATTTCTATTACCAGTTCCTTAACAGGTTTAAGGTTTTATCTCAGAGAGAACCGATTGGCTGTGATTTTAGGGCAGCCAGGCCTGGAGGTGGATGTGCACTGCACATGAATTCTTAGCAACCCCCAGTATGATCCCCCACGTAGTAGGTGTGAGTTTTGATCAATAAATGTAGATGTACAAAATTATCTATTCCCTCTTTTTCTCTAAATAAAATCATGTCTGATTCCAAGTCTTCTGCTGGGCTTTGGGGACGTTTAGTCTCATTCATTATTGAGGTTGATGAGGATCTGAGATGGTTAAGAAGAGCGCAAGAACATGAGGCGAGGCCCTCTAATCCCTGGCTAGTCATGGCTGCTGCCTGCGTCCTGATGGTCCAAGCCAGCTGTAAATGGTTCCCTTCCCTGAGGTATTTCCTTGATTCTGCGCCACCCATGGGACGTGGTGACTTTGGGTTGAGATCGAGAACACTTGAATCCTGGGTTTGGCAGACACATTTCATGGTCGTACACTCAGCTGTCTTTTGCTTTTCGAGGCTGCTGCTCAGTGTTAGAACTTGGTCCCTTTCATTTCTCTTGAAATTTTTATTGCTTCTCCTTTCGTTGCTTTCCAAAGCACACAAGCCATTAAGAATAATTTCTTGCCCATTATGTTTTTGTCCAGTTTAACTCAAATATCCTCTAAGGCAAATGTACACACTGTTTTCTTATAGCTCTGTGATTGAGGGGAAGGAAAGATACAGGGAAGAGTAGTTAATAGCTTTTAACTCTTGCTTTTATTGTTGATGTGTTATTATTTCATGTTTAATATATTGACATTAAAATGATGATCAACATTCCACTCTTCTTTAGAATATTATCTTGTGCTTCTAGGTAAGTGCTAATCGGGGATTAGGCAGCTCCACCAGCAATCCTTCAGTGGGCACTTAAAACTGGAACCCATTCAACTGCCTACTTCTCTTTTGAGCGCATAGGAACAGCCTCTGGGTGGGGAAGGATGTGGCATTTCCTGCTAGATGTAGCCATACTGTCCTGTGACCAAAAGCTGGGACTTAAGCAAATATCCCCTGTGAACACAACTTGTCCATAACTTATTTTTAGAGACCTTGGCAACAGGAGTTCTGGCAAATTTCTCACTTAAAATTCCAGGAGCAAAATGGATCGAGAGGTAAGAATATAATAGCTGAAAACTTCATTTTATTACTGCTCCCAGGACTTCTTTCATGTAAGTCAAGCCATTGGAATTCACTTTTCATTATTAATCCCATTCCTATATGCTAAAAAATCATGTGTTACTTTCTTCTGCCACATGTTCCATAGATTTGGAATTGAATTATTCCACGAATAAACAGAAGTAACCATTTCTGTAGATAGTGAGCAATTTTCTGGATCACTAGATGCAAAATCCATTTCTTTTGTCTGTAAACATAATCAGATAGATAATATTATTTTTATGAAGAGCATGGAACTGGGATTCATTAAGCCAGAGGGAGTGGTGTAAGGAACATGAGATTAAAATACACTTACTTGAATTTGTATTTTTGATGTAGACCCACTTGGGTAAGCTCAAAAAATCACTTTCCCTCTCCAGGTTTCAAGATTTCCATACATGAAACATCCTGGATAAATCATCTCTAATTTTTCTCTAGCCCTGTCGATCTGGGATATTATCAACCTGAAATAAAATGATCTTTTCTCATTTGAGACCTTATCAGTATGTATTACATATTTAGCACATAAAAACCAATTAATCAGTTGCAAGTACAATGCCAATTACAATAGTACACTTCACAGCATATTTTTCTGGCATCATGCTACTCTTTGCATTCCTCTTTAGCTGCAGCTTTTGCTAGTATTTCTGAGAAATACCTCATGAATTTAGCCTTCTGGGGCAGGGAGGAGGAGGGGAAATACATCTTATAAGTTCATATTTTCATGTAACTAGTTTGTTTCCAGCTATTAGCATCAGTGTTTTTATTTATTATTATTATAGGGAATGTAGTTGCTTCTTTAAGTTCCTTGAAAAGTAATGGTCCTCCCCTATCCTTGTAGGCTTTATGTCATTGACCAGAACTGAGAGTTTCCGTCCTATATTCCCTTTTAAAATTTTTATCTTAAAAATTTTAAATTTTTAAGGTCTAGTTTTACTCAACAACTTTTGATAAGCAATTGCTTCATGCCAGGCATTGTACCAGGCACTGGGGATTTAAACATGAACATTAAATGTTCTCCTCTCTTAAAAAAGTCACAGTCTAGTGAGAGGGATCAACTTCTAAATAGGCTAGTGCACAGCAGTGACAGCTGGCCAGGCAGGTGTAACGAGAGGATATTATGGGAGCATAAGAAAGGAATGACTAATTCATATTCTTTTTTTAAAAATTTATTTATTTATTTTTAGAGAGAAAGAGAGAGCACAAGCAGGGTGGGGGCAAAAGGAGAGGGAGAGAGAGAAACTTAAGCAGGCTCCACACCCAGCACAGAGCCCGACACTGGGCTCGATCTCACCCCCCTGAGATCATGACCTGAGCCAATATCACGAGTCAGACGCTTTACCGACTGAGCCACCCGGGCACTCCTAACTAAATCATATTCTAAGGGGAAAGAGGTCATGGAAGGTTTCCAGAAAAAAGCTGTACCTTCAGTGAGCAATAACAAATAAGAATTTGGATGGATGGACCTTGGGAGATGGAAGAAAAACTAGGAGAAGGACCATGGGGGTGGATAAAAAGAGTATGTTAGGAGGGGACATGTAGGAAGAAGTTCAAGAAAATTATTTAAGGGAAAGAGGACAACGTAAAAGGGGAGGCTGGAGAGGTGAACGGAGGCCTCGCATGTCAGAAAGGCTTTGGACTTCATCTTGGGGGCTAGAGAAGCCACTTACAGGTTTTAAGAATAATGCTATCAGATCTGGATTTCAGAGCATTATTCTGCCTACAGTGAAGAATGCAGTGGGAGGGAGAAGACTGAAGCAAGGAGGTCATTAATAAGCGATGATCATGAAGCGACGATGATGACTTGAACCTGAGTTTATCCGGAGGAAGTTTAACCTTCCTCCGTAGATTGACTCTACGGAGGAAGAAAGGGGTGGGGGTAGACCGAAGCCAATGCCTAGACTTCAGATTTGTCTCACTTTGCTTTGTTCTAGCACAGTGTGGTGGCTTAGTAGTTTTCAACAATTTAAACTGGGGAATTAAATAGATCAGTGTTTTGAAGAGGTCATTTGGAGTTTTTTTTTTTTTTTTTTTTTTAAGAGAGAGCTATAAGGATGGAGACAAGCAAGTCGGTTTGAAGGCCACTAGAAAAATCCATTGGAGAAAAAAAGAGGGTCTAAAAGTCATAAAAAAATATTACAAGTACTGTAACAGATTAGAATGGCAAACGTACACACTGTTTTCTGATTGCTTTGTGGTAGAGGGCAAGGAAAGATACAAGGAAAGCTAGTTAATGACATAGGATGACCTACAGGAAGACAGCACACCTTCCTTCAAAATAATCTGGAAGGAGCTCTATGGTCTAATAAAATTTCCATCAAGGAAGACAAATATTTTGTTTGACTCTTTTCCTGGGACTAATCCTCATTTGACAAAGTCCTCTCTG